ACATCTCTATTACAGGTATTCTAAGGGGTACATGCCTTGAAATGCCAAAAAAATACAACTCCCTAAGGTTTGGGACGCATTTTGGAGCCAAATTGAGCCAACTATGGCCTATATGACCTATTCCTTGCCCATTTTCTATGTTTTTGACCAAATGAACTATTTCTTTCTCTAAAAATGCATATTTTAGGTATTATAAGGGGTAAAGGCCGTGAAATCACAAAAAACTACAAGTCCCTAAGGTTTGGGACGCATTTTGAGCCAAATTGATCCAACTATGGCCTATATGACCTATTTCTTGCCCATTTTCTATGTTTTTGACCAAATGAACTATTTCTTTCTCTAAACATGCATATTTTAGGTATTATAAGGGGTACAGGCCGTGAAATCACAAAAAACTACAAGTCCCTAAGGTTTGTTGGTGGCAATCAAACTAATAAACTTTACCACCATGTTCAAGCCAAAATGCTTTGGTCTTCTCCATGCAATGTGGATAAGCTTTCTTACCAGCCGTGGCCCAACCAGACAACATGCCATAAGCTGGGAAGTCACTAACGGTCCATAGGATGGCTGCTCGAAGATTGAAATTTTGTTTCTTCGAAATATCATAAGTAGCTGCGCCGACTTCCCACAACAGTTTCAACTCCTCTATCAACGGTTGCATGTAAACATCCAAGTTGCCCTTAGGGTTTTTTGGACCAGGAACAAGCAACGAAAGGAACATGAATTGTCTTTTCATGCACATTGAGGGAGGCAAGTTATAAGGGGTCAAAATGACAGGCCAACAAGAATATTGACCCCCAAACTTACCATGAGGAGCAAAACCATCTGTACACAAGCCAAGTCTCACATTACGAGGCTCAGAAGCAAACTCTGGAAACCGACAATCGAGGTGCTTCCAAGCTGCGCTGTCACTAGGGTGTGCCATTGTGCCTTGAACTCTGGGATTTTTCGAATGCCATGTCATTTCCTCCGAAATGTTCTTCGTTGCAAACAGTCTTTGCAACCTGGGTGTGATCAGAAAATAAAATAGAACATTTAAAGGCACTAGGCTGCCTTTGGAAGTCTGCTTGTATCGGTCGCTACCACACACCCTGCATTCAGACAACTGAGCATCATCCTTCCAGAACAACATACACCCTTTCGGCACGCATGAATCTTTTGATGGGACAGTTCCAACCCCTTCACAATCTTCTTCACCTCGTAGAAAGTGTCGGCCATATGATTGTTGTTCGGAATCGCCTCACTTAGCAGAGAAGCAAACCCATCAACACATCTGTGAGGCAAATTATACTCACATTTGAGACTAGTGATTCTAGCGTCCATCTCTAACACAGACAAAGAACTCCCTTCGTATAATGGCCTTTCAGAAGCCTTCAAAAAATCCAGAAAATGCTTAGCAGTTGCATTAGGCTCCTCCTCTGATGAAACACTAGCCTCCTCGGAATGCCCCTGATCTTGACTATAACCAAAAGCATCCAAAACCATGTCATGATATTCATTGGACCGCCGTTCAAGAACTCCCGGATACCCCTCCCCTTGACACATCCGATCCACACGTAGTAGTTAGGTACGAAACCCTTGTCATACAGATGAATTTTAACCGTATCCGCATTCCAAAGGCGTTTGTTCTTACATTTAACACATGGACACCTAACCTCATCCGGATTACTACTCTCGGGATGATCTCTGACGTACTGAATGAATTCATCAACTCCTTTCACGAAATCTGGGTTAATACTTTGCCCAATCGTCCTTTTATACATCCAGCTACGTTCTCTTCGTTTCATGATTACAACTTCTACACAGCTCATGCATATGCTCAATCACATTAGTCATGAACGGTATTTCGCAGTCATTATCCACCACAGCGTTATGGAAATGCAAATGAGATTTGAAATGCTTCCAAAGGGTCCTTATCACTCCAACCTAACCCATCCTTGTACGTTTATTCTCACTAGTGAATGTAACCCAGGTTTTCAATTCTATGGAAAATCCGCCAGCATTTCCCTACAGTTCTCCAAGTACACGATGTAGGCGATTATACACACCTACATATGTACCCAAAGAACACGGTAGAGAAGTGCATGAAAAGGCAGGATTTTCCCTAGAATAAAAAACAAGGCTTACATTCACCACCTAAGTGAGAATAAGCGTACAAGGACAGTCCCAACCGGGGACTATTCAAGACATACTCCTAATGTGTATGCCTTGAACGGGTATCTAGGCATATGATTATGCAAATGATTCATTTATTATAATATATATATATATATATATATATATATGTATATATATATATATATATATATATATATATATATATATATATATATATATATATATATATAAACTAACTTGCATTATATTAAACTAACAAATATATCATAATTTATCTAAAGATAACTAACATATCATAATATCATAATATTCAAATAAACCAATCAAACAAAACCAAACTACACTAAAATTTCATTATATTAAACCAAAATAGGATACATTATATAAATTAAACTAAACTAAGCTACAATATATTAAACTAAAGTAATGTAACATACATCATATTAAACTAAACCAAACCAACCTACATTATAATAAATTAAACAAAACTAAACAACATTATATTAAAATAAAGTAAGCTAACATACATCATATTAAGCTAAACTAAACTAAACCAACATACATTATTATGTTTAACTAAACCAAACTAAACTAACCTATTATAATACAACTACACTAAACTAACATATTACCCTAAACTATACTTAAATTAACTACACTAATCTAACATATTATAGCACAAACACATTCATTTAAAAAATTTCAACCAATTGAAATATAAATATAACAAATTGTAAATACAATAACTAAAAACAATAATAACCTACCACATATTACACACCATTAGTTTTTAACATGCCAAGTATGTACTAAATTTATAAATTTAGCTTTAAAATAATGTCTAACCTGTAGATCTGAGTTTGTAATTGCCAAAAAAACAATTCAACACACAAAACCTACAAATATTCTAATTTAACAAAAATAATTAACACCAAACAAAAGCATGAACCACATTTATGATTTAAGCTTGAATGATTAACTAAAAAAAACAAAAAAAAAAAAAACAAAAAAGCAAAGAAAGGGTAGAACAACCTGCTGGTGGTGGCGGTGGCGACGGTGGCTGGTCGTGGTTGACTCGCCGGCAACTTCACCACTTGGAAAAACATTCCCGTACACCCTAGTTCAAAGGTGGTGGTTAGGGTTTGAAGGAAAAAAAAAAAATAAAAACAAAATAAGGAAACCCTTACCGGCGGCGGGGCGGCAGCGGAGGGGGCCCTGTGGCGGCGGCGGGGCGGCAGTGGAGGGAGCCTGCGGCGGCGACCTTTCTCACTCTTCCTCGTTCTCCTTCTTCCTTTCTCTTTCTCTTCCTCCTCCCTTTCTCTCTCTTCCGCTTCCTCTCTCTTCCCCTTTCTCTCTCTTTCTCCTTCTCCCTCTTCCTCTCTCTTCCCCTTTCTCCCTCTTCCTCTTTCTCTCTCTTCTTCTTCCTCTTCCTGTCGCCTTCTCTCTCTTCTTTCGTTTTTTTTTAATTTCGCTTCTGTGTTCAGTGCAGAACGTCACTTTATTTTTTTAATTAATCGAAGTTTTCCGATGGAAAAATTTCCCTCGGAAAACAAAGATTCCGACGGAAAATTCCGTCGGAACCTGTGTTTTCCGAGGGAAATTTTCCGTCGGAAGATGCTTCGAGGGAATATTCAGTAGAAACATCAACATTCCGAGGGAAATCAAATCCGTCGCAACATTTCCGACGGATTATTCCGTCGGAAGGGAACAGTTCCGACGACTTTTTCCTACAAAGTCAATTTCCCTCGGAATTTTTGAATTTTTCGAGGGAATTAAAGTCCGTCGGAAGATTTCCCTCGGAAATAAGCCTATTTCTAGTAGTGCTCCGTGTATTCTATGCAGCCAAGTTGCGCATATCTTGAAAGAATGGAGATTGGAAACCTTTGATTATCCACCCCTTGGCATTCAACTACTTGAAATGGACTGTAATAGTTAATTAAATTTTATGCTTCCGGAATTATTGTGTAAGACTTTTTATACTCTCTTGATTATGTTATTGTTTTAGAATTATTATACAAGACTTATTATGTTATTGTGGAAGACTTATTATGTTATTGTGTAACACTTGTTATGTTGTCTTGATTTTTATAAGAATTATTGTAGTGGTTTACTCTAATTTTGTTCAAAAATTGTACTACCCTGTCCCTAGTGGTATGGTATCAAATCCTATCCAATTGGTATGGTATCATGTCCCTGTTGATATATATTCCAACTTGCATGGTAGATAAGACATACCAATGAAAAATACTGTCCAAATTTTAAAAATCGAACATTAAATAATTGCATTAAAACCTTTATTAATGCAGGATGTAGGTGTATTTTTCTACGTAAATAAATTGATACTCCAACCGACAATATTCAGGAGGGGGGTCCACCACTTTTCTCTTTCTCTTCAACTAAATGGACAATTATCAAAAAAAAAAAAAAAAAAAAAAAACCTTTCCTAAAGTCCTCAAGGACTAAAGGTACTTGAGGCTAAAAAATTGCTCTTATTCAGGAAAATCGCTCCATCTATTAAAAAAAATACTACCTCCGCATTCAGTTATCTGCAACAAAGGACAGTTTTTTGTGTCACAAAAAGTTGTCCTTTGTTGCAGATAACTGAATGCGGAGGGAGTAATAATAATAATAATAATAATAATAATAATAATAATAATAATTAAAAGTAAAATTTTAAAATGATCCAGATCTAAACAAACAGTGGACAACCAACACAGGCAAACAATCTTACGTTGGTACTTGTTGCTATTTACTTCATTAACAAGGATATGAAATGTTTGTGAAAAGTTGATAGTTTTTGGTAAAACATTTTCTGTTGCTTTGGTGGTCCAATTCTCATATTTCAGTTCCAGACATCAACAAATCTTCTAGCAAAATCCATATCATTCAACTTTTCCTATCTTTAGTATTACAAAAAATGTTAATTTTATATTTCGTACACAAAAAATGAATAAATACAAAGAGGAAACATACAATACAAAACCTCTATGCGGCGTTGCCAACCCAGCAACATACTAACCTCTATCCTTCGGATAGCAAAGAATGATGATATTTTCTAATAAAAGAAGAAAAAATCCCTACTCGTATATGAAACTTTTTACAAACGAAAACAAAAGCCTAAAGGTGAGGATCTTTCGTCTTGATACATCAACTCAGTCCGTTGCTAGGCCATTGATTCATTTCAATCCCACGTTCCCAATCTGAAAACGTACCGAACTTTTCAGCTTCTCTAGCAATCAAGATATCACCAGGGAAAAAGCGTTGGCCAAAAACTTTAATAACGAAACGTGGGATTATGCCAGCAACCGGGACAATAAGAAGACAAAACCAGGATGACCACTTGCCCATTGCATAGAACATAGCCCTGTAAAAAAAGGTACTTGAATTCAGTTTATTACACATATTATTAGCAAAAAAGATTATACAGTACAAGAAAGGCTTGCAAATTTGTTCTGTCTAATTGATGTTAACCATAATCATAATATATGTAATCATTAACCCAATGACTCATATGAGGCTCTCACCCAGATGAGATAAAAAAGGGAGTCAGATGTTTGCAGCCCTACTTTGAAAAGAATGTTGTCTCTAACTTTTTAGCAAGATAAAGCAGCAGAGGAAGTTTTTTGAGCAATCATTTTTTAGACTATATTGTTGTCAACTTGTCATGACATTAATTAGGAAACTTGACAATTATTGTGATACACAGAGTTGGTAATTTCCAAGACAAATTCTATGAAACCCAGCTAATTGTTGTAATATCTACATAATTGGTGATGCAGCAAGCACGCAAGTTATATTATGTATTTCAGTGCAAATATAGCTCTGACGAATTAGGGAAGAGAATTTACCAGTAACCAGGCAAGACAGGAATGGCATCAATAACAAGGACACAGATGAAAGTTGCAAATATAGATCCCCATATCGCAGCATGCATGATCCAGTTCCACCTTACTACATCCATTGCCAAGTGCAAGTTGACTATTATTACAACTGCAATTGTCCAGATGTCGCCGAGGCTAGAAGCATCAATGTCAGTCTTCCAATATGCAAAGAGAGGGAGAAAGAAGACAGCTCCACTTTGCCACAAAGTGTCAGCCATTGTCAGCCAAAAAAGCCTTGGGTTGTAGCACTTTTCCTTCTGTCCAAGTTCATAAAGCCTAGGGAACTTTAGAAGGGTTTTTCTACCCAAGTCCTTGTCGAGAATTGCAACTACAACGGTAGGCACCGCACTATACACAACAGAATACAATACACTGCTCCATTCTGTAATTGCAGTAGTCAAAGTAAACCCAGTAAAGATAGTGTACCTGTACAGGGATGAACATGAGTTGGACTTCATTGATTCATATACCATTATTGGACTTCAAACATAAATAATGCGAAGTACTTCACAACAAAACTTACCAGAACATAATAAGGACAAAAATTGCATTTCTATAGAAGTTGTATAATATCATATAAGACATTCTCTGATAATTCCAGTGTCCATGAACCAACAACAGCGTCACCAAAAAACGAAACTGTCCCATTGAAAAATCTGAAGACATGACAGCTTGTCGACCTTCTTGTCCACTTATTCCTACTCCAACATCAGCCATTTGAATCATCGACACATCATTGGCCCCTGAAGAGTTTTTTAGAAGAACACAAGATAAGAAACAGAAAGCAAAAATATATGAAGTACTATTACTTTTCTTGTAAATGTGATTGTATGCTTCCAGTAGATACTAATAGCATAATAGGGGAAGGACAACAAGAGAATATAAAATAACTTGCTCCATACCATCTCCAATAGCAAGGGTCATGTCATCAGTTCTCTTCTTTATGAGGGCAACAATTCCTGCCTTTTGCAATGGAGCCACCCGGCAACACAGCACAACATCACATTTACTGGCTAACAAGAAAAGCTGCAGCAGGTGAAAACCACATAACAAAACAAGTCAGATATATTCACCTTTGTGACAAATGGAGCCATACATAATACTCATAGGTTAGTTTTGGAGAAAAAAAAAAAAAAAAAAACTAGAATCATAATATCTTACCTCCTCCTCAAGTTCAGAGTCCAGAATATAAACAAGGCTGCTACCGTCAATGATTAAGGCAAGTTGAGTTGGTCCGGAAATCCCTTCATTGTCATCAGCACCACCCGATGCTGTTGACATATTATTTGACATATCCAGAGCCTCACGCAAACTACTCCTACATGATTCCTTAGAGTTTTTATTTATAATAATCTGTCTCATTCTGCCTGTGAGTAGCTTTGAAGAATAGCCAATTGATATAGCCGTTTCTTGCTTGTCACCAGTCAATACCCAAACTTTAATCCCCGCATTTCTTAAAGATTCTATTGCTTCTGGAACACCTGGCTGCAGTCTATCTTCAATTGCAGAGGCACCTAATATCGTCAGATCCTTTTCGATGTTGCTAGCAACCTTGCGAAGTTGAGCTGCCCTTCCCATTATAGCAGTGCTTGCAGCCTCATAAGAAGACTGCCACCGCTTAAATTCAAGATGGTCAAGCTCCTTCATCCCAACCACAAGTGTTCTCAAACCTACTGTGGAGTAAGAATGAAGATGGGCTTCTGTGGCTTCCAATACATCCGTATTTAAAGATTTATCAATCACACTAAACATAGTTGTATCAGCACCTTTCACAAAGAATTTCACAGTGCCATCAGGACAACCCAGAATAACAGACATCCTTTTTCGATCACTATCAAATTCATGAAGACCCAAAACATCAAACCTGCTCAGAAGCAAGAAAATCAGAGGCAAAAATTTGTAGCGGTATAAAATGTAAAATGCTAATTACACTGCTTATTCATGGATTGATTTACAGTGTCTATATTATCTGCTAGCACACTGTCGTTTTGTACCTGTTTGACAAAAGAATCACTGGTAATAATTTGTAACATGAGATTAATGATGAGAAAGGCATGTTTACAACCTTCTTATGAATAATAGAGCCTATGCCTGAATCATAATGTAACATTGACAGGTGGAAGATATAATACTCTACTGCATTCTGACATTGTAAGCTGAAGTACAGCAGAATATTGACAGCTATTATTCACATGAATGCATGACAAAGTAGCACCAAAAAGCAGAAAAAGACGAGTAATAAGGGTCTAAAAAATCACCTTTGTCTCTCTCCTTGTACATCAATAACTATATGGCCAGAGGTTCTTTCCACAAGCATAAAGCCATATGCAGCAGCTGCAAAAACCAATGCCTGCTCATCAGGAGATTCGCCCTGGTAATCTATTGTTTTCACCGTGGGATCAGTTGAATTTGTCACAATAGGTACAATTGTATTGCAGGCTGCTAGCGCAAGGAAGAAATCATAAACACGTCTTCCTACACGAGTGTCATTTCCACTCTTTACCAACCTTTGGAGATTAGGATCAACCTTTACCTTCACCTTTGGAGTCAGGACCTGCCCATCCACTAAATTTACCAAGGAACAAAGAAGATTGATTAATATACAAAGAGTCAGTTTATTTTACACCTGAATAAGTAATACTCCATACTATAAGACTGATATTAAAGATTTACCTTCAATAAAGTACGCAGTCTGTTCAGCCGGTTCATCATCTGTCAAAATTCTGTAATCTGTCCCCCATATACTGGCACATTTAAATTCCATCTTGTTTTCAGTCAGTGTCCCAGTTTTGTCAGAGAATACATACTTTATTTGCCCCAAGTCCTCATTTATATTCAAGGCCCTGCACTGAAATGTTTTATTTGAGACACTATCATACATGGAGGCATCTCGATTCATGAAGTAAGCCTGACCAACCCGCACAAGCTCCATGGATATATAGAGTGAAATGGGAATCATGATCTGGAAGACAATAACTGCCATGAGAAATGTGAAGAATATTTCCAGGCCTATGCCATAGTAGTTATAATCTTTAGGAGGACCCCTATTGTACTCCTTTTTCCGGTAATATGGTGTCTCATTCACTTCATCCATGTGACGCCTCAGCCATATGCCAAAAAGAGTGGATACTATGGTACATAGAGCAATAAGAAAAAGAGAAAGCAAAATGATCTCTTGATTCATTTGTGTTTCAAGGCGGCTTCTCTTAGATGGGGCTCCAGCATTATTAAGCATAGCTTTAGTTTCACGCCCAGCATATACCACAACTCCAATAGCCCAATCAGTGTTCTTGAGTTCACAACCTCTTAAAATGATATTAGAAGGCCCTAGTGACATTTTCTTCCCATCTACCTCCATAATTCCCTGAAATCCATATACATTCCTATTCGGTTTGTCGCACTTGATTAACCCACCAACCTTCTCCTTTTCTGGGTTCTTCGAATGGGTTTCCTGTTTTGCATATCGTGTTTTTAAATTTGACTCCCCATCCAGATTTATGGTCTGCACATAAGCCACACCTGTTGGATCACTGGTTGACAGCAGCACTATATCACATGGAAGAGTTTCATTTGAAGAAATCTTTATCACTTCACCGACTTGAATATGCTTCCACTTTTTATGCTCAAACTTACCATTGACCAATATTGATGCAAGTCGATTGTTCTCAACTCTGTCAGATCGGTGCCTCCTAAAATCCTCAAATGCATCCTTAATAGCTGAAACTATCAATACAAAAGCTAAAGGCAATACAGACGCACCCCGACCAAAGACTGCAAGTTGGGGTAACTGGTTGAGAACAGCTATAATAAGGAAATAAATATAAGCTACCCGATGAAATTGCTCAAAGAGATTCCGTGGCAAGAAGGTGATGACTGAATACTTCGAAGTGCGAATAGTATTTCCAGCAAATTCAAACTTCTCATTTGTCCTTTCTGGATCATTAATATAGATAAATCTTGCATCCTCCTCATTTATCTCCCTCTGAGACAGACCCATGCCTTCGGAATCAGCTGTCCTTGATCCATATCTTACTGGCCTTGGGTCCGAATCAGCATAATTCACCTCCCTCACAGAATTTTCAGCAGACCTCCAGTTGTACGACTGAACGCTTCCCCGAGATGAGGAATGCATAAGACCATCATTCCTTGCTGAATGTTCAACAGCAGAATTCGAGTCTGTCTCGTAAACAGAATCAGGAGCTCCGCGAGAAACAGACTGATATGATGAAACACTCCTTCGAGACGAAGAAATCAAAAACGGATCACTATTTACAATATTTTCAGCTTGTTGGCTGGATTTCCTTAGTGAAGGGGATCTCAAACTACTCCCCTTAGACAATGAAAACAAAACCGAGTCACTCTTTGACGAATTCTGAACTGGTCTATTATAATCCATCCCAAGAACAGACTAAGAACTCCCTAGATCAATCGTCAACAGATCAACAAACACGGCAGCAGGAACCGCCACAAGATCACCGGAACTCCGAATTTAAGGCAATAAAATTAAAAACGTCGATTCGAGTTCATGATCTAAACACCATAACCCCCCTTTCACGCCTTAAATAGTCAACTACACTCAAATTCACAAATTACCCTTTACCCAGATGCTAATTCTTCACAATAATGCTATTAATTTAACAATTAACCCTCTAAATTAAGAAATTAGGGCAAATCAACACCCTTACACAAGTTACACCTTCGATCAACTTTAGTACAATAATACAAACAGTACAAAATTATACTCAAATTCAGGAAAAACCCAATAATTATACTTCAAAACTAGTACAAAATCCTAATAAATTACACAAATAAATTACAAGAAAAAAGCAGAAATTCAGCTCAAATTACAGATTCTAGTTTACAATGGGTTGTGTGAGAAAGAACTTACTTGTGAAGAGAGAGAAAGTAGGAGAGAGAAAATTAAAGAAAACCCATTGTGGAGCTGAATAATAATACCCTTGTTATGAAGCAAAATCCGCCATGAATGAGAAAATTCAGAGGTCAATGGCATTTTTAGAGAGAGAAAGTAATAATGTAGAGAGAGAAAGAGTCGTAATGGGTGGCGACAACAGCCAACCTCCCTTTGTTTCAAACATCCATTGAAAAGTATTTGGAGCTGTTAGTCAAGATTTTTAGAGAGAGAAGTTGAAATTCCAAGCAGTTTCTAGAAGACCAAGAATTTTACAAGAAAGAATTAATGGGGTGCTTCAATTTGACTGGAATTTTAAGAATTCAATAATCATGATTTTAATATTTTAAAACAAGAATCTTAATAATTATTTATAAATAATAATGGGGTTAAAATATTAATGTTGTTGTTTGAATAATTTGGTGGATATTTATGGAATTTAAAATTGAAGAAAATAAAAATGAAGGTTAGCTTTCTCTTGATATTGATGAGTTAGATCGATGATTGATTTGATGGGTGTAGGAGTGACTAATTAATGAAGGTAGTATGAACTACCCAACTATTTCAAAATGCCGTGTTTATGTGATTTTTTTGGTGTGAATTTTAGATCATGACTTGGACGAACATTCAATGCTATGACTTTGTTCAATTGAGAGTAATAGGCATTTGAACACGAATAATAGTCGCGTTGATAGTATGAGTTGAATAGTACTCCCTTAGTCTCACGATACAATGTTTTTTTTTTTATACGGAAATGAAAAAAAAAAAAAAACTGTTGATTCCTTAAAACTAATGATTAAAAGTATATATGTGGATGTGGGGTTAGAGAGAGATGGAGAGAAAGAAAAAGTAGTTAGGAATAATTCAAGAAATAGAGAGAAAAAGTGTTGAAAATTGAATAACTCATAAAAGAGGATAAGAATGTCAAAAGATACAACCTTGAAATCGAAGGAAAAATACATTTTAATAAGGAAATTTTGAATTTTAACACTACAAAAAAGTCTAAAATGGATTTTAACACTACAATAAAAAAAAATAAAAAAAAACATTTATTTTAATACCACAAAAATTTTAAAAAATTGGTTTTTACCACCACTTAACTGATTCATGGATGAAATCCGTTTGTGGGATCCATAATGCTTACGTGTCATCAAATTATTGGAAGAAAATAATAAGTAAATAAAAAATTTTAAAAAAACACAAAAACCCTAAACTAACCCCACTGTTTAGGGTAAAAATACCCCTATGCCGCGTGGTCCAGTAGTATCATGACACATGGCAGCCCACCAGAGGCCCAACGGGATCCAATCGGATGCTGACACGTGGCATCAAAATCCTAATCAGGGAGCATGTCTCCCCCACTATAAATAGAGGAATCCTCCTCTTATTGGGCATTTATAAATACATACACAAAACCCGAGCAATATTAATTGCGGAATCTCTCTATCAGTGAGAAATACCTATTTACCTTCCGCACATTTACCCATCCGTAAATCATACTAACTTGATCGTCGGAGGCGGAACTCCACCCAACCGGAGTTTCGTGGTTTTGCAGGTACAGAAGTCAGGCGCGCATACTCTGTATTGTAACTCTCCTGAGGGACTAAAAACACCCGAAACATTTGGCGCCGTCTGTGGGGAGAGTACTACTGAGATGGCATCTGATGTTGTGCCGAATGCAGAGGGCAGCCAGCCTCCGGCTGACCCTAAGGTCCATACGGACCATGAGAGTGGCAGTGGGGACAACTACGACGTCGAAACCTACATGGCCCCAGACGGGTCATTCCGTTCTAGGCGCACCCGTTCCAAGGAAACAAGGGAACGGGGTCACGACAAAGTTGGTCCCAGCAACCTAAGCGGCAAGCCTGTGGGACAACCCCAGGCGGCGGAGGGTGTTGCCCCCGTCACCAGAGACGAACTCATGAACCTCATGACTAGTTTTAAGGGGGAAATCAAGGATATAATCAAGAAGTCAGTTGGCAAAGAAACCTTCTCTCTCCGGGAAGAAGTAAATCAAAGACCGGGTGCCTACTCTGCATCCCAAACCCAAGGGAACGGATGGGCTCCTGATCGACCTTTCGAAACTTCGTTTCCCCAAATCGGGGCAACGTAAGGCCATCCGGCATACACAGCCGGATGGGTCAAAGAAGACTTTCTCTGACGCCCGGTTATTCATCCGGGAGAAGAGAAGTCAGAGCATGTCTCAGTCGGCCTCAACATCGACCTACTCAGACAGCTTCCGAAATGCTTCAATGAAGCATTCAGAGACGCAGTAGGGGAGTCAGTCACGCAGCATGTCTGCACGTATTGGCCCTCATGTAATCTAACAGCAGGCCCCGTATGTGCCCCAACAGCCATACGTCCCGTATGGATCTCCATTCATGCAGTCGGCACCTTTTGGGGTCAGGCGGCCTACCAGGTCCAGCCCATGGACTGGCAGCTCCGATTGCTAAACCTTGGGGAACAACCTTCAGCTTTCTCCCGGGAGATAACCGAGGCGGCTTAGCCGACCAAGGTTAAAAATGTGTTGGTTGGTGCCTACGACGGTACCACCAACCCGGAAGACCACCTAATGGCATACACCAACCTCATGTATGTACAAGGGTTGGATGACGCCGCCTGGTGTAGATGCTTCCCAGCTACATTGAAGGGCATAACCAAGCGATGGTTCGGCAACTTGCCGGCTGGGTGCATCAATAACTTTAGGAGACTTGCATACCTGTTTGCGTCCAACTTTTCCATGAATATCCCTGCTAAAAAGACAAGTCTCAACCTAGGGGCTATCCAGCAGGGTGACAAGGAGGGACTTCGGTCCTATGTCAGGCGGTTCAATCTGATGAGAATTCAGATTCAGGGGCTGTCTGACGAAGTTGCATACACAGACTTCTTCAAGGGTCTGAAGGATGAGTCAGCTTTCAAATTTGACCTGGTCCGCAAGAGGGTAGCCACCTTCCAAGAGGCGCTGATGGAGGCGGAGGCCTATATACAGGCAACTGAGCTCTGCTCTACCAAGCATCCGTCGGAACCCAAGCGGTCCGACAAGAGGGACAGCCGGCCTAACCAGCCGGCCAAAAAAGAAGAGAATAAAAGAAAAGAAGTCTGGGCAGCTGACCGCCCAGGTCAGCCGTCCCAGAAGAAGCAAAGGAAGTTGGAACCGTACGTCCCCAAGTACGAGTTCAACAAAGACTGCTCCTCCATCCTCATGGAGATAAAGGACCGGGTGACAATCGAAAAACCGGCTGCAATGAAAAGCTCTGTCAAGAACAGAGACAAAAGCAAGTATTGCCAGTTCCATGAGGACGTCGGCCATGACACCAATGGTTGCTATAGCCTCAGGCGGCTATTGGATCGTCTGGCTGATGAAGGGGTCCTAGAGTCCTATCTGGTGAAGTCCAAGGGCAATCCCAATTCAAGTGGGGGACAGTCGTCTAAGAAACCGGCTGCTAGCTCTGAAACGGATGAAGATCATATCTTCACCATTGCAGGCGGCTTCGCAAGCGGAGGTCCTACTATCCGGGGTGCCAAGGATAACATCCGGAAATTATCCAACCTAGAAGATGAGGGCAAGGCGTTGAAAGACACCTTCCTTGAGGTCTTCATCTCTGAGAAGGATAGGGGCATGGTCAGGCGGCCTCACGATGACCCCCTGGTCATCGAATGCAAAGTTGCCAATCAACGAGTTGGCCGGATCTTAATCGATACTGAGAGCTCGTATGACCTAATCAGTTACCAGTGCTTGACAAAACTCAAGTACAAGCCTAGCAGCATGCACAAGGCTCCCCACCCCCTAGTTGGCTTTGGGGGAGGGGTAGTGCATCCGGTGGGAAGGATTGACCTACCCATCCGGCTAGGAGGCAAAGGGGAGGGGCGACACATGGTCGTCAAGTTCTTGGTGGTCGAGGAATTGACCGCCTACAACCTTATTCTGGGCCGCCCCACCCTCAACGAGTCCAAGGCTGTCATCATCCCATCTCTTATGATGATCAAGTTTCAGAGGGATGATGGATCAGTTGGTGTCCTAAGCAGGGATCAGAAGACAGCTAGGGAGTGTTAACTCTCAGACGTCAGGCCGACTGTTACCGCAGCCGGTCATAACGAGGAACCTGCTGACCTCGAAGAAGTGCCTGTCCCTAAGGAAGCCGGTAAAAAGCGAAAGGCGGACCAGTTGGCCCCCGCCAGAAAAACAAAATAGCAATCACTAGCCGGGGAAAGGCCGGATGACTCCCGACCCCAGCCGGCTGGTGAGAGCATTGATGTCGTCCTGGACGACAGCCGCCCTGACATCAAAGACATCTTTGCCTTTGAAGTGGAAGAGATGCTAGGCGTCAGCCCGGATCTAGTTGTCCACAAGTTAGCTGTTGATCCCAAAATAAAGCTGGTTTAGGAAAAATAAGAGGGGTCATGGTGAGGAAAGGTCTCTGGCAGCAGCCGCCGAGGTCAAAAAGCTTCTGGATGGCGGGTACATTCGGCAATGCTACTACCCGGATTGGGTAGCAAATGTTGTCCTTGTCAAGAAACCAAATGGTACTTGGCGGATGTGTGTAGATTACACAGATCTGAACAAGGCATGTCCGAAGGATAGTTATCCCCTTCCAAAGATCGACAGCCTGGTCGACTCTACAGCCGGCCATGCCTTGATGAGTTTTATGGACGCCTACTCAGGCTTCCACTAGATTCCCCTATGGAAGAAGGATCAGGAAAAGACGGCCTTCGTCACTGATCAGGGGTTGTACTGCTACACGGTGATGCCGTTTGGGTTGAAAAATGCACCTGCTACCTTCCAACGAATGATAAACACGGTTTTCATCAATCAAATCGGAAGGAATGTAGAGGCGTACATTGATGACATGATAGTCAAATCCAAGCTGCAGGCGGGTCACAAAGCCGACCTCTGAGAAACCTTCACCACCCTCAGGTGGCATAAGGTCATGCTTAATCCTAAGAAGTGTGTCTTTGGTGTTGAGTCTGGGAAGCTTCTCGGATTTCTGATTCGGGTATAGAGGCCAATTCGGAAAAGGTACAGGCGGTGATTGACATGCAGTCACCTCGCACTGTCAAGGAGGCCCAGAAGCTAACAGGATGCCTGGCGGCATTAGGAAGATTCCTCACCCGGTCAAGTGACAAGTGCCTTTACTTCTTCCAAGCAATCAGGAAGAGGTCTAGATTTGAATGGGGGAAACAAGCTGAGGCGACATTTCAGAGGTTAAAGCAACACTTGCATTCTTTGCCAAGGCTAGTGAGCCCCCTGCCTAAGGAGGTTCTCTACATGTACCTAGCTGTCTCAAATCACTCCCTTAGTGCCGTCCTCCTTGCCCGAGAGAGACGGCAAGCAACTCCCGGTGTATTTCATCAGCCATATACTCAGGAATGCTGAGCTCCGGTACCCAATGATCGAAAAATTTGTGCTGACTCTTTACAAAGCTGTCAAGCGGTTGAAGCCCTACTTATTGGCTTACCCGGTGACTGTCTATACTGATCAGCCACTCAAGCGTCCAATGACTACCATAGAGTCATCCGGCAGAATGATCAAGTGGGCTGTTGAAATGCAAAGCCTGGAAATAACTTTTGAACCTAGGCGAGCAGTGAAAGGTCAGGCGTTTGCCGACTTCATTGTTGAAATGACTAGGCCAGCACAGCCGGAGAATACCGA